TCTGCAGTATCCATTCAAATGTCTCCTTTTTCATCTCTCATTTTATTCGAGTCTTCTCTCTTTTTTCTTAGTCTGGCTAAAGGTGTGTCTATTTTGTTCATCTTTAAAAAAAACACCTTTTTGTTTCATTGATCTTTTGTATTTTTTATTTTAATTGCATTTATTCATACTCATTTATTATGTCTTTTCTTCTAATTTGGTGTTTTGTTTGCTCTTGTTTTCTACTTTTTGAAATGTATCATTAGGCTGTTTGAGGCTTTTCTACTTTTTTGATGTAGGAAATTATCACTATAAACTTTCCTTTTATTACTACATTTACTGTATCCCATAGGTTTTGATATGTTGTTTTCATTCCTATTTGTTTTGAGAAATTTTTAAATTTCCATCTTAATCTCATCATTGACCCACTGGTCATTCAGGAGTATGTTGTTTAATTTATATGTGTTTATTTGCCAATGTTCCTTTTATTAATGATTTCTAGTTTCATTCCATTGTGGTCAGAGAAAATACTTGGTATGACTAAGATTTTTTTCAATTTTTGGGGACTTATTTTGTGGCCTAACATATGTGTCCCTTGAGAATGATCCATGAGCTGAGGAGAAGAGTATATATTCTGGAGTTGTTGGATGAAACATTCTATGAATATCTATTGGGTCCATTTGATCTATAGTGCAGGTTAAGTCCAATGTTTCATTGTTGATTTATTGTTTGGATGATTTGTCCAATGCTACAAGGGGAGTGGTGAGGTCTCCAAAAATTCTTGTATTGGGATCTGTCTTTAGCTGTGGTAAAATCTGTTTTATATATCCAGGTGCGCCAGTGTTGGGTGCATATATATATTTAGAATTGTTATATCCTCTTGTTGAATTGACCTCTTTATAATTATGTAATGACCTTCATTATCTCTTTTGACACTTTTAATTTTGAAATCTATTTTATCTGTTACTAGTATAGCTACTCCTGCTCTCTTCTGTTTCCATTTCCATGCAATATTTTTTTCCATCCTTTATTTTCAGTCTCTGTATGTCTTTTCAGGTGAAGTGGGTTTCTTGCAGACAGCATACAGTTGGCTCTTTTTTTCTTTTTTATCCATTAAGCCACTCTATGTCTTTTGATTGGAGAGTTTTCTTCATTCACATTCAATAATTATTATTGATAGGTAAGGACTTACTACTACTACATTGTTGTTTGATTTCTGGTTGTTTTGTGGTCCTCTCTTTGTTTCTTTCTTCCTTCTTGTCTTTCTTTGTTAAAAGTGATTTTCTTTGGTGGTGTGTTTTAATTTCTTGTTTTTCACTTTTGTGTATCTGTTATAGGTTTTTTGATTTGAGGTTACTATGAGCTTGCAAAAACCATTTTATAATCAGTTATTTTAATGATATGACAACTCTGCTTACAAACAAAAAATAAGATAAAAGAGAAATTTAACAGAAATTCTATCCTTTAAAAACATCTCCCTGCTTTCTAACCTTTTGTCTCCATCCATATCTTTTTATGCTGTCTCTCTCTCAAAAACTTATTGCTTTTATTTTTCATAGATGTATCTTTTTCTACTCAAGATATGAGTGGATTATATATTACACCAATAGAATATTTTGCATTTGTCCTAATACCAGGGAGTTGTATACCTTTAGAAGATTTCTTATTGTTCATTAATGTCCTTTTCTTGTAGATTAAAGAACACCATTTAGCATTTCCTGTAGGACAGGTCTGGTATTGATAAACCTCTCAGCTTTTGTTTATCTGGAAAAGTCTTTATTTCTCCTTCATGCTTAAAGGGTATTTTTGCAGGATATAATATTCTAGGGTTAAGGTTTTTTTCCTATAGCACTCTGAAAATGTTATGCTAATCTCTCCTGGCCTGCAAGGCTTCCACTGAGAAGTCTGCTGCTAGATGTATTAAAACATATAAACTCCTTTATATGTGTGTGAGTGTGTGTGTGTGTGTGTGTGTGTGTGTGTGTGTGTGTGTGTTTCTTGTTTCCCTTAGGATCTTTGGGAGCTTGATTCTTAAGTTCCTTGAGACAGCCTTGTTTGGGTGAAATCTGGCAGGTGTTCTATGATCTGATTGTACCTGAACATTGACACCTTTTTCTAGGTTTGGAAAGCTCTATGTTATTATTTCTTTGAATAAACTTTCTAACCCAGTCTGTCTCTGTACCTCTTCTTTAAGCCCAATAACTCTTAGATTTTTTCTTTTGAGGTTATTTTCTAGATCTTGTAGGTGTACTTTATTCTTTTTTTTTTTAATTTTTAAAAACAGTTTTATTGAGATATAATTCACATACCATACAATTTACCCCTTTAAACAGTGCAATTCAGCAGTTTTTAATGTATTTACAGGGTCAGGCAACCATTGCCACAATCTAATTTTTTTTTCTTATTTTTTTTTATTTCAGACTTTATTCTTATTTATTCTTTTTTTCTCTTCTGACTGTATTTTCGATAGCCTGTCTTCAAGCTCACCAATTCTCTCTTCTGCTTGGTCAATTCTGCTGTCAAGAGAATCTGATGTGCTTCTCTGTTGGTCAATTGAATTCTTAGCTCTAGAATTTCTACTTGTTTTTTAAAGTATGTCAATCTCTTGGTTAAATTGACCAATCTCTTGGTCAATTTCTCTGATGAGCTTTTACATTCTTTCTCTGCACTGTCTTGAAGTTCATCGAGCTACTTCAGGACAGCTATTTTGAATTCTTTGTCTGAAAGGTCACCTATCTCCATCACGCTGGGATTGGTCACTGGTACCTTATTTAGTTTTTTTGGTGAGGTCCTGTCTTCTTGGATGTTCCTGATGCTTTTGGATGTTTGTCAGTGTCTGGGCCTTGATGAATTAGATATTTATTTTAATCTTAACAGTCTGGGCTTGTTTGAACCTGTCTTCTTGACAAGCCTTTCCAGACACTCACAGGGAATTGAGTGTTGTGGTCTAAAGCTTTGTTCATGCAACCCTATCAGCACTGGGCCAGTAATGCTGTGACTCTTGCCAACTTCTGATAGCACCACCTTGGTGGACTTTGGTGAGATATGGGAGGATTCCCTGGAATCCAGGCAAAGTTTCTCACTGTCCTCCCTCACTCTCTGTGCCGGGATGCTGGAATTGGGGGAAGAGTGATGTGAGCAAACCCTTGTGGCCTCCAGCATCTGGTCACACCTAAATCTAGTCCAACCTCACCCAAAGCCATTGGTGACTGCTGCCTTACTACCTGATGTGTATTCAAAGCCCAACGGCTCTTTAGTCAGTGGGTGGTGAATCCTGTCAGGACTGGGTCCTTCCCTTCAGGGTAGCCTGTTTCCTTCTGGCCCAGCATGGGTCTAGAACTGCCATCCAGGAACTAAGGCCTGGACTCAGGCTTCAGGAGTCTCCTTGGTACTTTTATTTACTGTGGCTGAGCTGATACCCAAGTTACAAAACAAAGTCCTCTGACCTCTTCCCTTTCCTTTCCTCAAGTGCAAAACAATTCTCCCTGACCCGTAGTGTCTGGAGTTGGGGGAGGGATGACATAGGCACTGGCATGGCCACAGTTGCTGGTGTCTCACTGGGTCATGTGCACCCCACATCCACTGACACTGCGCCAGCATAGTCACTGGAATTACCCAAGGATTGCCACCCTGGTGGCCCAACTGCCTTATGAGTTTAATTCAGACCCCAGGCTGTTCTTTTTCTCCCAGGGTTGTGGCTGGTGGAAACTAGGTTTTCAGGGCGGAAGATTTCCCTTGGCCAGGCTGGTCAAAATGCTCCCTCTGTCAGCATCAGCAGAATTTCTGCCCTGTGCTGTGTTCCCGTGCCAGTGCTGCCCTGAATTTCAGTGCGAAGCCCTGTATCACTTCACACTCTCTCCTCCAGGCATACAGATTCTGGCTACACTTAGAGAGTTCACGGGCACTTCTGGGGGCTGGGGGCCGGGTGCCGTAGGCTATGCAGCACTATCTTTTCTACCCTCTTCAGTGCCTCTTTCCTTGATACAATGTTAGAACCAGGTAGTATGATTGCTCATCTGCTTTTTTGGTCTTTTGAAAGTGCTTGCTTGCATGGATAGTTGTTGAATCTGGTGTTTGTGCAAAGGGACACTTGCTGGATGTTTCCATTTGGCCATTTTGTCCTGCCCCCCTTTTAGCTCAGAAATTCTTTCCTGAGCTGGGTCCAGTCTACTAATGAGCCCATCAAAGGCATTCTTCATTTCTGTTAGTGTGTTTGATCTCTAACATCTCCGATTCTTTCTTAGAATTTCTGTCTCAGTTAACACCACCCATCTGTTCTTATATGTTGTCCACTTTTTCCATTAGAGCCCTCAGCACGTTTATCATAGTTGTTTTAAATTCCTAGTCTGATGATTTCAAATCCCTGCCATATCTGATTCTGGTTCTGATGCCTCCTTTGTCTTTTCCCACAGTGTTTTTCACCTTTTAGTATGCCTTGTAATTCTTTGTTATTAATAAAAGCTGGGCCTAATGTACTGGGTTAAAGGAACTCTAATAAATAAACCTTTAGTGATATAGTGGTAAGGTGCTGGTGGAAGAAAAGAATTGTATAGTTCTATGATTACGTTTCAGTCTTTTAGTTAGCCTGTGCCTCTGGGCTGCAGACTTTACAAATTGTTTCTTGGGTTTCTCTTCCTCAAGGTGGGAAAGGACTTCCTCAAGGTGGGAAAGCTAAAGGAGGCTGGAATTAGGTATCTCTCTTCTCCCACTTGGAAAGCTAAAGCAGGCTAGTGGGCCCCTCCCCCAGGTCAGTTAGGCTCTAATAAAATCCCAGTAAGTTAGGCTCTGGTAAAAGAGTTTCTTCTGAGGGCAGGCCTTGTTAAAAAGAACAGAATGTTCTGGCATAATTCAAAATGTTACTTTTCCTCTCTCCCTGCCACAGGCAAAAGGGGATATTTCTCTGATCTTCACTGTATAAACCTTGTACAGCAGATGAAATTAAAATTCAATTAAGTGGGTAGGGGGGCAGTTGTGGGGGAAGGAAGAACCTCACTATGACTGGGCACTATGGAGTTTTTAAACTCTCAGACTTGCTCACACTGAGCTTCCAGCAATTTGTCAATTACAGTTTAGGTTTTTCCTTCTCAGCCACTGGTTCCAGTGGAGGTTTCTGTTTGTGCGTTTTCTGCTCCAGTAAATTGTGATTCTCTCTGTCTGTCTGTTTCTTTAATTTGGGGGGCAGTGATTGTCCTATGACTTCACTTCTCACACAGACAGTTATTGATTTTCAGTTTGTTCAGCTTTTTACTTGCTAGTACAGAGTATGACTTCCAAGGTTCTTATGTGCCAGACCAGAAACCTAATAAGCTTCATCAACTCTGAAAAATATAGTTTGAAAAACTCCAGCTGAAGTAAACACAACACCTTTTTACACAATTTAAGAAGCCATTTCCTACCAGGAGAAGCTACTAGACAAATGAACAGAAGAGACTGAAGCCTTGTCTGAGGTTTTCATTGGCAGTGGACTTCTTCACCTTATCTTGAGCTCCAAGACAGAAGTACCTTTAGAAACAAAAAACAAATTACCTTCATTTCTGAGGTTTAATCAGCAATCTCAGGAAATCTGAAGGTGCTAGTAAGGCAGGCCTCAAGTTGTTAGATGTTAGAGTTTATTTATCAGCACACTTAATAAATATAGCATAGGTATATCTGGCAATTACATAACCTCTTCCTTGAAAAATAAAAAAAGGTATTTAACTGTGGAAAGGAACCTGACAAGTGGAACCTTTTCAAAAGCCATCCACTCAGCGTAAATCATAAAATGTTAATAGTCACTGTACTGACTGCTACCTCTACACCACTGCATAATCCAGCCCTGTGAAATGAATCACATGATAAAATTCTTCTCTCCTCAGTATAACTTACCCTCCTCAGGAAAATGGAGATGAAACATTTCTCATCATATTCTCTGATAAGATTATGATCAGGCTGGTTGAAATCTTCTGATATGCTCTATGTCCCCAGGATTATAGTAGGTCCTATTTAAGTTATTTTTAAAAAGGAAAGGAGCTGACTCATATCAGGTTGGAATGACAGAATAATGCAGCTGTAAATTTAATGAAAATTCTGAAGACATAAGAAAAATAACTGTTTCAAGGAAAAATATAGAAATTTTAAGAAAACCTGAAATGATTTTTTATTAGTGTTTTCTACATATTAACATGTTTAAGAATGTAAAAGGGCATTTTGTTCATGAAATGATTGTGCACATTAAGTTTTAAAAAATAATTTATTCAGACAATACAAATCAGATGTTCTTTTACAAGGAAATAAAAATTGGCTTTAACTTTGTTGTAAAACAGAGTCAAACAGCTGATTTTTAACATTACCTCTTAATTTGGGGAAACAAGAAAAAATTTGTGAAGAAAAAAAATAACCTTCTAAAAATGCAAAGGAAATTATATTTTCTGAGTACATACAGTTGTTTGGACTCCTAATCTCCCATTCTTTCTTCCTCACTATACTATTTCTTTAACCACAGCAAAGCGCAGGTTCTCAATGATTCTCTCTGGCCCATTCATATTCCTGATCACAAACTATTTTTGTAAGTGATCCTAAGATGCAAGTGAATAAAACTTTGGTGTATCCCCTATACCTACGAAAGTGGCCCCCTCCAAATCAAAACAAAACACTCACTAAAAATTTATAACACATTATTTTAGTGAAAATGGATACCTATTCCCTATTAATTTGATACAACTTTTTTGGAAAGCAATATAGTCTGTGCGTATTCTAAATCCTAACTCCATATTTGCCATAGGAATTCAACACAGGAAAGAAAGTTGGCTTGCTAAAAATATTACAAAAAAAAATGTGTATATTATACAAATAGTATTAAGGGCTTGGTAATTGAAATATTGTTTCCTATATGCACTTCCATGAATTAACGATGCTACCCCCCCACACACTCTAAAGCATTAGGAAGATTTTGATTAACTGGCATGTCACCTAGTTGCTATGTAATAAACCACCTAAAATGTAGGAGTTTAAATCAATAAATATTTATTTAGTTCACAATTTGGTGGGTTGTCAATTTCAACTGGGCCCATGTGGGTGGTACTTGTGGTCACTGCTGATCTCACTAATGCATGAGGTCAGTTTCTGGATTGGCTGCATGATAGTTGTCTAAGATGGCCTCGGCTGGGATGGCACATCTACCTGGTCTCTCATCTTTCAGATGGATTTCCTAACCTTATTCATGGCAGCTGAGGAGAATTCTAAGAAAGACAGAAAAAGCATGCACGCTTGAGGCCTAGGCTCAGAACTGGCACATCATCACATATGCTATATTTTATGGGCAAAATCAAGTCAAAACGTCCACCCAAATACCAGAGGTAGAGAAACAGATTCCACTTCTTGATGAAAGAAAATGCAACATCATATTGTACCATGTATGAATATAGAAAGGAGTAAGAATTATGACCATTTTACAATCTACTGGACTACCTTTGGTTTCTATTACTCTTATATAATTCATTTCAAAACTGAAGCCTCTGAGCATTTATTTCATATAGTGACTTAAAAGTATCTGAAAGTATAACGTCAAGAAAGCCTTACCTGAGCATCCTAGCCAAAAGTGGTATATTTTAACTTAATTTCTATAAATAATTCAATCACAATGTTCTACTGTATTTTATATGGTAGCTCCTAGTAGACTGCAATTCTTAGAAGGCTAGGGATCAGTTCTAGCTTATTTTCTTCTAATGGGTAATCACTGCTTTCACAATGCCTGTACTCAATAGGTACTCAATCAATATTATTTATTGATTAAATGGCTGAATGAATAAGGGGATGAACTCACTATTAAATTAAAAAGTCATTAAAAAGGGAACTGTCTCAATGAATTTGTATCTCCCATAGCATCTAGGTATTTGCACACAGTAAGCCCTCTATAAATAATTGTTAAGTATATCTTTACAGAAAGAGCAAAAGAAGAATTTGTAGATTAAGAATTCTGGCAAACACTTCTTATACTTTCTTCACCCTTCAGGATTTTAAAAATATGTTCAGCTAACATGTTTAAGGATACATACAGCTATTCCCATGATGTTTGAAATTTGTCCATCATTTAACAGCAGTTGCCAAATCACCCTTAAATAAATATTGAGGAAATTTATTGTCTGGAAATACTTTATGGAACTGGCTGTAAACATTGACCTCATTATACTGCAGGGGAGAAAAAAAAGATAAATAGGACTTTACATATAGATAAAACATTATAGAGAATCTGTAATATCACCCCTTACCTCAACCCTATAGTTAATTATAAACAGAACAGCAACTTTGGGAATCAATTCAGTACCATGATTTCATCAGTTATTTACTATGGAAAAAAGTTTATCATAAAACAATAATCTTTGTTATTTCATGTTATAAAAATGAATATTGAACCAGAAATATATCCACTTGAAGACTTTTTCATACCCCATTTTTCAAATTTAATCTGTCAATGACATTTGAAAATACACAGTAAATCCAGTTGTGAACTTCAGAAAAGACACCTAGATTAAGATATATACTGAGATATTTTATCTTCATAAGTACTGAACAAAGAAATCATTACTCAGAGCCATTATGAAACAATTTTTTCAATGTCAGTAATATTTGGAGGGTCACTTTCTATAATGTCACATGAAGTTATTTTCAAGTAAAGCAGCTCAAGGAAATAATGATCCTTGGATTGATTTTATCTAAAATGAGTTTTCCATTACCAATTATTAAAGACAGATAGGTGCAGTGGCTCACGCCCATAATCCCAGCACTTTGGAGGCCAAGGCAGGAGAATCACTTGAGTTGAGGCCAGGAGTTCAAGACCAGCCTGGGTAATATAGAAAGACCCCATCTCTATTAAATAAATAAATAAATAAATGAGAAAAACAAGCCAGATATAGTGGTGCTTACCCGTAGTCCCAGCTACTAGGAGGCTGACACCGCAGGATCACTTGAATTCAAGAGTTTGAGGCTTCAGTGAGCAATAATCCTGCCACTGCACTTCAGCCTGAGTGACAGAGTCAGACCCCATCTCTTAAAAAAAATTATTAAAGACAGATTAGAATTGACTGATATCAAAAATAAAGTTATAGTATAATTAGGTCATGACAAAAAAAGGATATTTTCATAGTCATGGCACTTTGACTTTTCAAATGTTTCTAACTGCTCTTGTTAATTTCTGTCAGTTTTTATGCACTCACCTTCTAACTCATAAATAACATATCAATAAAAATACTTAAAATAACACAAAGGTGGCAAATATTGTTTGTATACAACAATACGTTTGCATACAATATGTTCTGTGACATAAAAAGCAGAGGATGAAATAGCCAGTAGCAACCAACAGAGTTAACTCTCATGCCAACAGGCAACAGAAAAAAAAGACTCTGAATATGAGCAAGTGATTTTACCTTAACAGAATAAAAACATTTACTGATATATCAGCAATACTTAAAATTCCTAATTCTTAGACTATGAAATTTAACATAAGAAGAGAATTGCCATAGGTCTTTCTCATTCATGCTTACAGGTCTCAATTTTTTTCAAGCATGGAAATAGTTCAATGGCTCTTGCGCATATTAGATTTTGTAAATTTTTCATCAAGACATGTTAGTCTCTGTGTTACTGAAACAGGTCATCTTAGTTCAGAATTTTATGTGTATAGTTAATCACATTTTTAATGGTATATTCTTTCCATGGACTCCCAAACATGAAGCATATGATAGAATGCAGCAAAGCACAAATCATGGGCAAACAAGCTATGAGTTCTGGAGAAGCGATGGCTAAATGGCAAAAAAAATACATGGTGTGGCTGAAGTTAATGAACAATACCAAGTTCAACTACTAGAAAACTATGGTAACATTAAAACTAGGTAAAATGCAATCATTAAAAAAGCAAAGGCTTTGGAGTCAAACTGACCTTTGATTTGAATCCTGTCTCTACTGTTGACAGAGCTACCTTGGGAAAGTCACTTCATTAATTGAAACTTCAATTTTCTGATCTGTAAAACTGACATAATACATTTTCATAATGTGTTATGAGGATTAAAGGAGACTGTGTATATAAGTTACTTCAGTGTCTCTCACATAGTTAAGATCAATCAACCCAATGTTTACTATGTACTAGGCACTGTTCCAAGGGATACAGTGGCTCTTGACCTTACGAAACTTACATATAGCTCAATACATTTTATAATTAACATCATCAGGCCATGAGGCAAAAATTAGGTTAAGGAGTAAAAAAATCAAGATGAAGTGAAAGAGATACAAGGTACTAGAATATGAACTAGAGCCAAAGGCAGAAAGTAACCTAAGGTAAACAAAGCAACAAGAATAAAGTTTCAAGAGGAAATGTAAAGTGATCCAACTATATTGCTAGAATGGAGCTGCTTTAAAAGAACCAGATGTATGTATTCTGGGTTGTACTCCAAACCATTTAATATCACCAACTGGATTTATTGAGTGTACACTATGTGAAAAAAACACTATTTGGGGCCGTGTGTGTGTGTGTATTAAAAAACAAAGTCATGCAAAACAGGTTCTGCCTCTTAATAGTAAATGTAGCAGTAAGGAGAATAAGACATGTAAAAGGTTAATTTCCAGTTATCTAATCCTGTGTAGCAAACCACCTCAGAACTTTAAGGTGCTTAAAACAACACATGTTTATCATAAATATGAAATGTGAACAGGGCTAGCAGGGATAGCTCATTCCTAATCCGTGTTGGCTGGGGCTGCTGGGGTGCTGGTTCATTCACTTATATACATATCTGGTTCTGAGGCTGAAAAGACCCAAAAGCCTGGGGCAGGGAAAGCTGGGGCTTCTTAGGCATCTTACTGTTACTCTCTCTATGATACCTCCACATAGATTCTCCAGCATAGAGGCTTTAGGGTAGCCAGGCTTCTTAAATGGCAGCTCAGGACACTCAAGGCATGTGTCCTGAAAAAGAGGATGCCCGCTGGAAATTATATCACCTTTTATGACATAGCCTTGGAAGTCATGCAACATCATTTCTGCCTCATTTTGCTTGTTACTATAGAAGCAAGTCACTAAGGCTCACGCATAGCAGGGGAAGGGCACTTAGACTTCACCTTCTGTGGAAGGAGTGTCAAGTAAATTACAAACATACCCTTTGGCCACAAATTTTTACATTCCTTTTACATGCAAAATACACTCCACTTTCTTAGGCAACTTCACCACTGCAAAAGTCTTACCTGTTACAGCATCAAGGCTAGGCTCAAAATTCAGTATCTCATCTAGGTGTGGATCAGTCTCCTTAGATGCCATTTATCAAGCACACCTCATGAAGTATAGCTATTCTCAATCTAAAAACCTGGTGACCTAAAGAGACAAGTTATATGTCTGTCCTCCAAACACAAACATATGGTAGAAGAGGCATAGACCTTCCCACTGAAAAGAGAGAAAAGGAGAGGCAACCAGGAGTCACTTGTCCACACCCATTCTGTAATTCGGCCAGGCACATGTTAGTTAGTTCCTTAACTCAGGCCTGCTGTCTAGGAATGCAGTATAGCATTCCTAGCTCTACTATGTGAGCCCATATTTCTACCCTGAGTTATCTTTTTCCATAAAAAAATGCTGACATTTGCAGCTGAGTAGTTTTTTCACCCTGCTTCCTGCCAGTAGTACTTCAGAAGTCCAAAGCCCTCACTTCATGTTGTATTGTCTCTGTCCTTTTTAGTCCAAGTTGACAGTGTTTCTGCAAGTACGCCTTGCTTAAAACTTTGTGGGTCTCCTATAAATCATATTGGGGTTCACTCCATTAGACAAAAGCTATCCCCACACATTTATGAAGACCCTAACTTTCCTGTAAGGTTGCTATAGGAAAGCACCCTTGACATTCTTAAAAGCCCTATTGTTTAGCAGAAACAATCTGCAATGCATTTCCTTTAAGGTCCTTAGACAGATTTATCTGATTGAGATACTACCCTCAAGTATTTTTGAAGAGTTGAATGATACCCTTGACATCATCTTTATCCCTTATTTTCCTGACAGTGCCTTGGATTTGATCTTTATCCAAAAGCCTTTTTTTTTTTTTTTTTTTTTAATTTTAGCATCATTTGCCATTTGAACAGACTAGAATGACAAAGTTTTATTTTTGGTCTCAGTAAATTCTGGCTCCTTTATACATAAATGTCCTTTCTGTTGCTTAACACTCTCATCTGGCATTTTACTATAGGCAGCTAGAAGCCAGGTGGCATTGTCAACATTCTCCTTGGAAATCTCCATGATTTTCTAGTTCTATTTTCCACATTAGTACAGATAATAGTGTTGCTTAGCTTTCTGCTACTGCATAATAAATACCCCTTTTCTTCCCACTTTCAGTAACGTTATCCTCAGTTTCCTTTCAGTCATCACCTCAAAGGCTTACATGAGTACTACTATGAGTCTCTTCAAGGCCCTTAGACTTTAATAATATTCTCAAGGTCCTTCCAGCTTCAGCAAACCATTCAGTCCCAAAGCCACATATTTTTATAGGTTTTTATAGCAGCACCCACTTCCAGGTACCAAAATATCTTCCAGTTATCTATTATTGGTTAACAAACCCCTCAAAACTTAGTGGCTTAAAATGAGATTTATTTTGCTTATGAAGCTGCAGTCTAACAAAAGATTGCTACAAGAAATTAAAGAAAACCTGAAGAGAGAGATATATTCACTGACTTGTAAAGCAATATTATTAAGATGTTAGTTCTCCCCTAAACTGATAGAGATTCAACACAATCCGTACCAAAATCCAATCAGGATTTTTTTTTTCTTGGTAGAAATTGACTAGCTGAAGCCAAAGTGTATATGGAAATGCAAACAACCTAGACTAGCCAAAACAATTTTGAAAAAGAACATTAGTAACACTACATGATTTCATGACTTCAAAACTTGCTATAAAAGTAATCAAGATAGTGTGATATTAGTATAAGAAGAGATATAGAAATCAATGAAACAGAATAAAGAATTCAAACACACACATCTATGGTCAATTGATTTTGGATAAAAGTGCAAAGTTAATTTAATGAAGAAAGAATAGTCTTTTTAACAAATGGTGCTAGAGGAAAAATGAAACAAACAAAAACTGTATAACCTTATATTATACACACACACACAATATTAGATGGAAATGAATCAAGGATCCTTATCACAGACCTAAATGTAAGAACTAAAAATAAAAAACTTGTAGAAGAAAAAAACAGGAGAAAATTTTGGGGACCAAACTCAATAATTTTTTAAAAGATAAATTAGATTTTATAAAAATTTAAAATGTTTGCCATTATAAAGCACACCATTAAGAAAACTAAAATACACTAACACAGGGGAAAATACAGTTTTGCTAGACCGCTTGTTTTGAAAAGGCAAATTCGTTACCACACTGACTATATTAGGAAACAATCTGAGCATAATGTAGGTTTCATATTGGCTGATGTGTGGTTGTGTCCACAAGAAACACTAGGCCAACATACAAAATACCCATCAGAACTTAGCTACACAGGAACACACAAAATAAACATACACACACCCCTCAAACATCCACCAGCTACTTCAACTCACTGTATTATCTTACAAGGTTATGTTCTGCTGTTCTTTCACATTTGTAGACATTTATATATGATAATAGAATTATATATGTTACATTATATAAAAATAAATAAAGTCATTGAACATCCTAAATATGTCCATGTCCCTGATTCAAAAATGTGATGCAGTATATGCAAAAGGAAAGCTTTAAGAGTTTAAGAGAAGCGTGGAAATAAAGTATGTTGAAAGAAATGAGAAAATATGACATGTGACATCTCCTGAGAAAAAGACACACAGGAATACACACTGAGGACCAATAGAGATAATACTGAAAAAAAAATTTTTAAATACCTGTGGCTAAAACAATGTCAAGTGCTGAAAAGTCTTGAAGAAGGCCTAAAGAAATATAAGAAATGAGAAAATAGTTCAGCATACAGGATGAAGAGCAAAAACTGAAAAAATCAGGAACAGTCTTTCCCACAAAGAGATAGCACTATCTGTATACAATATACAGACCTTAAATATATATCACCAAATCCTACAGAAGTGGTTCCTTAATGCTAGTAGTGGCTAGTCTTGTGACTTCAAACATTGCTACAGCTGTAGGGTAGAAACACAATTTTGGAATGACCAGTATTTTCTATCAGCATTTGGAAGGTATTATTACACTGTCTTTGGGCTTCCATTATTCCTATTAATATTTAAAAAATCATCTGACACTGCATGTGTCTTTTCTAGGAAGGCAGTCTTTTCCCCTCAGCTGCTTTCAAGATCTTTTGACTTTGAGGCTTTGCCATTTTATGTTATGTCTAGAATATGGAGTTCATAAGTTCTAATACCACTTGGAAATTGCTGGCCTTCTTGAATCTGTGGATACTATAATTGATCAATTCTACAAAATTCCCAGTCATTATCTCTTCAGATTATGATTGTATCCTATTCTCTCTCTCCTATACTGTTAGCATTTAAATTAAACGTATGCTAAAGCTTTTTACTCTGTCTTCCTTATTTTTCAACTCATAATAACTATTTCTTTTTCTCCTCAGGCATTTTGGATAATTTATTCTTACATATATTTCACTTCATTCTCTCTTCACCTATATCTAACATGCTGCTTGACTAACACATTAAGATTACAACAGGTGTCATAATTACAAATGTGAGACTAGAGACTTGTAAAACTAAGAAAAGAAGCTATGTTGAGGAAGGGGCTCAATAAGATGGCTGAATAAAAACCTCTAGTGACTGTCCCTCTACACAAACATCCAACTCAACAACTATCCATGCAAGCAAGGACCTACAAAAAGTTAATATGGGAAAAAATGGCAGGGTAAAGTCAACTCCCCAGACTCCTGCTCCCAGAGAAGGAGACACAGATCTTGGTCTCCTACACATGAGTGGATCTCCCCACTACAAGGACAGCATCGAGAATCCGCAGAGGTGCAGCACGGGACTCTCATAAAACGAAAAACAAGGTGATCGGGAGATAAGATCGTGTTCTCTGGAGAGTGCAAAGCAAACAATAGGGCGCGTGGGAGGGTGCTGGCCCGCTGGGCCAGGGGGTGAAGTGGGATCAGACCCACAGGAGAACTCCTTGCTTCCCTATTGACCTCCACACCCACCCGGCCAGAGACCTGTCTGAAACCAGTGTGAAATCGCAGCAGCAGAACAGGGTGCTGGAGAGTGCGGTCATTGGTGAAAAACAACGTGATCTCCTGAGCCCTTTGCTAGGACAGCTCCAAGACAGGAGGAAACTGAACTGTGCGGATAGAGGAGGCAGTTAGAGGTCTTGCCTCTGGTAACCAGCGAGACTAAGCAGGGGCTCTAAGCTGGATCTGCCCTGGGTGAATAAAACTGGCGGGTCAGTAAAAGCGCAGGCTCTGATGAACAGGCGGTTGGGCAGGTGGCATGGAGGAAGCTAGGGGCATCCTATTGACCCAGGCTCCCAACCCAGTACCGGCCGCACCCTCATCAGTCACTTCCAGTATTGGTGCCCTACGAGTGGGCTAGCAGTCGCCATTGATGGGGTCCACAGCCCAGCTGGCAGTGGGCAAGTCCCCTTCCCCCGCCCAGCCTAGAGTCACTCCTGGCAAATCCCGCCCCTACACAATCTGCGATCAGCTCGCCAGGCCTGGCTCCATCAGCGGACTACTGAGAAGTCTAACAGCTGAGAGGAGATACAGCCACTGGGGTGCTAGGGTGCAGGGCATACTGAAGAGATACCTCCTCACCTCAGCCCACATCTCTCTTGCCCAAAGTGGTAGGCTCCACCCCTGGAGGTGGGTGAGACAAGAAAACCCACTCTCCCCAAAATCTAGGGAGAAACTGCTGAAAGGTTCCGACACAGGAACCTTCCAAGTGCTGTGGAAGAGCTTCCCCCAGTGGTTGATAAAGAAACTACAAATAAGTACATGACTCGCTCTAGCAATTGACCCAGATGGGGAGGGCCCTATGCAATTCAAAAAATCAAACTGAAAATACATCCCCTAGGAGATACACCAGCTCTCAAGAAACGGAGTCTGAACAAACCCAAAACACTAAAATGACAGAAGAATTCCAAAATTAGACTAAGAAAGCTCAATGATATGCAAGAAAAAATGGATAACCAACACAAAGAAACTACAAAGAAGATACCCGAATTGGAACAAATATTCACTAAGGAGATAGAGAGCTTGAAGAAGAATCAATCAGACATCCTCGAAATGAAGAATTTATTCAGGGAAATTCAAAACACAGTGGAAAAGCCTCAAAAATAGGATGGATAAAACACAGGAAAGAATCTCAGAGATTGAAGACAACTCATTCAAATCAAATAAGTTACTCACAGAGTTAGAGCAGAGAAATAAGAGACATGAGCAAAGCTTGCAAGAATTGTGGGATTATATGAAGAAAAATAACCTGTGGGTCCACTGGATTCCAGAGAAGGAGGAAGAAAAAACCCAAGGGTTGGATAAGCTTTTTGAAGAAATAATTGAGGAAAACTTCCCAGGTCTAACTAGTAACCTAGAATTAAAAATACAAGAGGCCAAAAGGACTTCTGGGAGATACAATGCAAACAGGAAAACACCACGCCATGTAGTCATCAGACTGACCAAAATATCAACAAAAGAGACCCTCCTACAAGCTGTAAGGCGAAAGCAGCAAGTTACATAACAAAGGAAAACCGATCCGAGTAACGCCAGATTTCTCAACTGAAACAATTCAAGCAAGGAGGGAATGGGGACCCACTCTCTCTATTTTGAAACAAAATAATGCCCATCCTAGAATCTTGTACCCTGCAAAACTAAGCTTTATATATGAAGGGGAAATTAAGACATTCTCAGATAAGCAAAGTCTCAGAGAATTCACCAAGACAAGACCAGCCCTACAAGTACTCAAAACAGTGTTACGCACGGAACACCATATTAAAAACTCACAAATATGAAAACAACCAAAACCAAAAGATTAAAGGCCAGATATTACAATGGCTCAAGACAGAAATCAAAGCAACAACATCCAACCCAATGAATGAATAGTGATCTACCTCACCTATCAGTTCTCTCAATAAATATGAATGGCTTAAACTCTCCACTCAAGAGACATATGCTGGCTGAATGGATAAGAAAATATAGGCCAAGTATATGCTGTCTTCAGGAAACATATCTAACCTGAAAGGATGCATATAGATTAAAAGTAAAAGGGTGGAGATCAGTATTCCAAGCAAGTAGAAGCCAAAAGAAGGCTGGCGTGGCCATTCTAATCTCAGATGATTTAGTTTTTAAACCAACAAAAGTAGTGAAAGACAAAGATGGTCATTATATAATGGTGGAGGGCACAGTTCAACAAGAAGAGATAACAATTTTAAATATATATGCACCCAACTTAGGTGCACCCAGATTCATAAAGCAAACCTTACTGGATCTAAGCAAATTAACAGCAACTCAATAATCACCGGAGATTTCAACACCCGCCTGACGGCACAAGACAGATCCTCCAAACAGAAAATTAATAAAGAAATAATGGACTTAAACAAAACTCTAGAACAATTGGGTCTGACTGACATTTACAGGACATTCTACCCAAACTCCACTGAATATACGTTCTTCTTATCAGCTCACGGGACATTCTCTAAGATTGACCATATCCTAGGTCACAAAGTAAGACTCAGGAAATTTAAAAAAATAGAAATCATACAATGTATCTTCTCAGATCACAGTGGAAAAAAAGTAGAAATCAACCCGAATAGAAACTCACATTTCTTCACAAAAATGTGGAAATTAAACAACCTCCTACTAAATGATTACTTCATAAATGAAGAAATCAATATGGAAAAAAAAAATTCTTTGAACAAAATGACAATGGAGAGACAAGTTATCAAAGCCTCTGGGACACAGCTAAAGCAGTTTTGAGAGGAAAGTTTATATCCATAAACGCCTGTAACCAAAAGTCAAAAAGATCACAAATAGACAATCTAATGAAACGACTCAAAGAGCTGGAAAAAGA